GAAATACGGTATAGGGATGTGGTAATAGGGAGGGCTGGTACATTCCATATGGGCGAGAGATGATCTGAAGTGGATAGCTTTGACTACCTGTGATGGCACTGTATTGGTATTACATCACTATGTGTGTTTTGACAGGGAATTTCATACGGGGCGACGTTTATATGACCCGCATGTTCGAATTGGCTCAGAACTTGGTCATTATCACTTCATAGGGGAAAATTTGGAATTTTTTCTCGCGTGTCGGTAAATTTTTGGTATACGGCCGAACTGGTAGATTGGATGCAGAGGTATCGTATTTCAGTCTACCGGCCAACATGTTGCCAAGATTGTCACGAGGCAAGGGCCGATACAGTCTATGCGGCAGAACCCTGCTAACGCTGTAGTGGTCACTGGTCACACTCGTGGGCATGTATGTATGTGGACGCCTAATATCAAGGAACCAGCATTGAAGATGCTGGCACACTTCGGACAGGTGAGGAGGTGTATTGTAAAGTTAATAAGCTATTTCGTTCCACAGGTGACCGCTCTGGATGTCACTAGTGATGGGAAATATCTGGTCACTTGTGGAACTGACAGTAAATGGAAAGTGTGAGTAGTGGATTGACTTGGTGGTCACTCACGTGCAAAGTTAGATATGACCTTCGAAAGCCATCGGAAGAATTGCAGCGTTGTAGTTTCTCTGGACGGGCTCCGACGTCTATGGACATCTCTTTCGGCGATGCCGACTTGGCATTTGGTTTCGGCTCAAACGTTTCGGTCTTCCGAGGAGCAGATGTCTTTAGGAGTGGCAAGGCACCCAGTACTTACTTGAAGAACAACTACAGCGGTCAGCAAGTAGGAAATGCACCTGCTAGTCATTGGTATGGTCACCGCAGGTGTCTAGTGTCCGATTCGTCCCGTATGAAGATCTGTTGCTTGTGGGCACCAGTGGTGGTTTCAATACTATGCTGGTGCCGGGCGCTGGTTACACACAGTTCGACTCCTATGTGGCTAATCCTTTCGAGACTACTAAGCAGCGCCGCGAGACTCAGGTGAGGAGCTTGCTGGAGAAGCTGCAGCCTGATATGATCGCTCTTGATGCGAACTTCATTGGCCGAGTGCAACCCCCGAAGAAGATTCCCGCTAAGCCACTGCTTGATAGTGATGAGAGCGAGGTTGAGGAGGAGTCCTTTGCGGCCAAGCATAAAATGCGGGGGAAATCCAAAGCTGGCAAGCGTCAGCAACGGATGAACAAAATGCGAGGGGAAGCGGAGCGCAAGAGGCGGGCGAGAAGAGCCGGTGAAAGCAAGGTGGATGTGGCGGAGAAAAGCCTCGAGTCGGCCAGGGCAGAGCATGGGGCTCTAGCCCGGTTTTACGTAAACAAGACTGATTAGCTGTATAGGGCTACTGCCGCCATAACACGTTTCGTTCTATCACTTGGAGAGTAGAGTTGAGTAAGTCGGTTTTGTCATATTGAGGCGAATATACTCCATCGAGTTCGCTCTGATAGGCACTACGTTACGTCCACAGTGGGATAGCGTCGTTAGTGACATATTCTGCGTCGAATCAAAGGTTTATAATGCCATCAACCTTGAGAGTCAAATTTGAACTACGTGTTTATAGACACTCAAGGCGGCGGCCTGCTAAGCCGTTGGGCTACGCTCACGAGGGTTGACTAGTTCCCTGCCCATCTCATGTTGATGTTCGATGGCCTGAATTTGATCACTCTATGAATTCACACGCTTGTCTCATCAACGCAACGGAGCACCCGGGGAGCGAAGCGTCTGGTGGATTGCGATGATCCCACTCTAAATGCAACGCCGCCATTTGACCGAAATGTTTGATTACGGAGGATTTCCGATGCTGAACAGCGGTGCTTTGTTTTTCCGACGGAAAGGCGGGTATTTCCGCATGTAGTTGATCGACGGTAGCTGACCGAGCACTTTGGACGTTCGGTATCTGCGTTGAGAAAACTCATTCAATCAGCGGGGTTATCGGATGCAGGATCA